CGACATTTATTTTTTATTTTGTAAAATATTTTATGATTTAACGATAAATAAAGTTATTAAATATTGCTGTAATAAGTATAAGATATTGATCATGCAATTATGATCATGATTTTCAGGCTAATTCGAGATTGTTGTGCTTATGTAATAACGTACAAAAAATAACAAGAAAAAAATCTATGATCATAAGAGTTTGCACGATTATTTAAAGCTACGGATCGCTACTTTGCCGATAATCATTCGGCTGAATTCAGTAAGTTTCTGATTTTTGGTATGTTCAATATATAAATTATCATGCTTTCTTTTCATATACAATATGTTATTGTAATCAGTGTTGGACAAATTAGTGGTCGACCAAAAATTTACTGGTCAAATTGGTCAAATCTATTATATAAATATAATATATATATTATATTAAATTATATTTAAATATACTATTTGACCAATTTGACCAATTTGACCAGTACAGACCCTTTAACCAGACCGGTCAAATTGGTCTGGTCCAATGGTCAAACTGGTCTGGTCAAGCCAACACTAAATTGTAATGGATGAACATTATAGATTTTTATATTATAGGTGAATTAAAATGAGTGCCGCCAAGCGAAAACCTGCAATTTCGATTTTTACTGGCTCCGATTTCTAATAAATTTAAATCAAGCACAATATGGTGTATTAAATCACATTTTTAGGGGTTAGATCTGTAAAATTAATTTAAAAAACTCATAATTCCTGGTTTTCGCTTGGCGACACTCAAATATAAACTTCACAAAAAAAGAGAGTGGTCTCATGACCTTGACGAGTATATATTTAGTATAAGCAAATTCATTGTCGCGGCTGATGCTGGAAATGGCTATGCTAGAAATTTTAATTATTTTAATATATAATTTTCAAAAATTTTTTGGGCCTTTTGTTAGGGGGTTTTTTTAGAGTTAGGTTAGAGTTTAGTAGTAGTTTTAATAGTTAGCATTTCACTATACTACCAGTAGTACATTGTATTACATTGTGACAGTTTTTAAAAACAAATTTCTAGAAATTTAAAAAATAAACTATTTTTTGGTAGGGACTCAGGACATCATTGATGGACTTGAAGTATGACAACAAATTGCAAGTGGAAATTTCAGTAACTGCGAAAAGGTTGTTGTGCATGGAACACAAACAACCTAATCTGGTAGGTCACTTACCTTGCTAGCTAGTATTAGGTCTGAGATAAATTGTAATACTAGAGATACTTTGAATTATCATATAAGGTAATTTCCAGATATAGATAGTTGACTATAGCCTTAATCTTGATGTACATAAACAGTTAATTGTATTATATGTTTGTATAATTCCAGATATAATATACATTTAACATAATAAAAAGTATCTAAAGAAGCAATCTTACTTTAAAAAAATAAAAAATAAAAATAAACTATCTTTTTAAATAATATAATTCTATTCTATTTAGTATTTATAACATGTACCAATTGTTAAAATAGCTTTAACTACTATTTCTGATTTTATTGTATGGTACATGTAGCCTAGAACCAGCATCACGTAACTTTCTATAACTATGTAAAATAAAAATGGCTATAACTAATAATAATACTATTATAACAAAAAAAATTATTCTGTAAAGCAATTATTTAAGCTTCATATTATAATATTACAGGAAGATTTTTTTTCTTAATTTATTCAAACCAAAGTTATTAGCCAAAATATCTAATATATCTCAAATTTTTGGCCACTAATAAAAATTTTTATTATACTAAAATTTAATTGGCTAATTTTTTATGTAACACAAAATTTCTATAATGAAAATATTTAAAATTTTGGCCACTTATAGTCACATGATGTTGGTTCTAGGCTACATGTACCATATATAATTTTTTTTTGTCTAAAAAATTTATAAAATTAAATTTTTATATAGTATTTACTAGTTACTTTATAAGCTTTAAACATTATTTAAAAATTAGTTTATTATATAATTTTTTTAAATTTTAATAAAAATTATAAAAATAAATATTCTAATTATAATAAAAAAAGAATTATATTATTTTGCACATATGTACTGTAATGCATCTCATAAGATCAGGTGTAACATAAAATCAAAATAATAAATTAATTTATTAGTTTAGGGTTAGGGTGAGAGTTAGGTTAGGGTTAGATTAGGATTAGAATAAAGTGCTTTAGTAAAAAGGTTCTAACCCAAAATTTTGCAAAAAATTTTTTTGTTAGTATATGAAAAGAGGTTTCATAAGCAAAATTTTTAGCTACAAGCGATTTTTTAAAAGATTGCTATTTTTTTCTATTTCATGTTACACCTGATCTTAAATTCCGATTGGTCGATCAGTGGGTGCGTTACTATGTATATGTGCTAAATTATATAACTCTAAAAAAAAAATTATTAAAATTGGTATAATATATAACAATAATTTCAATTTAAAATTTTTACTAACTTTTACTATTAAGTATTTGTTTAAATTTTATATATGAAATTTTTTAAATTTTAAAGTTATATAAGTTTTGGTAAATTTGTTTATCTTTATAAATTTTAATAATAATAAATCTTTACAACTTTTATTAATGATTTTAAAATTTATAGTTAACAAAAAAATTTTTAAATCTTGGCTAAAAATCAAAGACCTTATATAAATTCTAAAAATAGTAATAATTTTTGATTGATTTTTAGTAGAGGTGGCCACTATAAGATTATAATATATAAATATAGTATTTAAACTAATTTAAGCAAATTTGAGATTAGTTAGAATTAGGGTAAGAGTTATAGTATAGTTTATAATTAACTCTAGAGTTAGGGTTAGAGTTTTTTTATATTATAATTCTATAATATTTCTATATTGGCCACTAGGGTTCCTTAAAGTCAAATCAAATCGAATATTTATATATTTGAATTTGATTGAGTCAAATAAGCTCTTGATTTGAATTTGATTTAATCAAATTAAATTCAAATCAAATCAAATATATTTGTAATTTTTATTAAATATTTTTGAATCGAATCGAATATTTTGTCAATTTGAATTTGATTTAATTTGAAATTTCTGTATTTAAATTTGATTTGAAATCAAATATTTGATCAAATCAAATCAAATTGTGGAACTCTATTGGCCATCTATACTAAAGAAGATTTTAATTTTCTATTATTGTTATACAAAGCTTATATTATAAGTTAAAATTTTTATTATATAACTAATTATAATTTTTTAATTATAACTTATTTTAACTCTTTTTTATATAACAAACTATTATTTTATAAAATTTTTTAATAATTTCAAGACTAAGTTGCTTTAAATAGTGTACTACCTAGGGGTTAGTAAAATTACAGAGGGGACAACTTATTATAATATATAACCAATAAAAATGATTCATATTTATTTTGTGTAATGATCATATAAATGCATATTAAAAATGCCTTATAATGCTATTAAAGAACCTTTGGCTGTATTAACCAATTGCTAATTCAAAAGAGGTCATTGCTATATTATATTTGTGTCGTCTAGTAGATTTATACAAAAATTAGACACATTTTAGTATTCGTGAAAGCCAAATATTACTTTGGTTAAAATCGTCAAATATTAAGTTTTAATTTTATTAATCTTTAGCAAACTATACTTATTTTCTGCACTTATATACGCTGTATAATCATTTTGAAAAGTAGCATCTTTGGTAACAAATTTGATATTAAGCTAAATTATGCAATAGTAAAAATTCTTTAAATATTTAATACATTAATTTTTTAGATATATCGTGAAAATATTTGGCTAAAAGAAACTATTTACAGGCAGAACTCTTTATAAAGACCAAACTTTAGCAACATTTACTTATAGAGTCATAAGAAAAGTGCATTATGGAGGTCATATATATATTGGGCCAGAATTGAGTATTAAAGAGAAAGTGTGTTTGGAGAGGGTTCACTATGTAAGGACAATGATTTGTATAATATAGCAAATACAATATATGATGTTAGATCTCAATGTTAACATTTTTAATTTTACAACTAGATGGGTCAATTTTATACATCTTAAAAAAAATTAATGTTAATTTTTCAAAGGAACTTTTTTTATTTAAAATAAAAAACTTAGACCGTTAAACTTTAATGCTAAGTTCTTAAAATTAATTTATATAAATTAGATCTTCGTTCTGATATTCAGAATATTGAGCTATAAGTTTTTTTACATTTTAAACAAGTTTGAATTTTATTCATAATTGAAAGTAAATTAATATAATAAAAATTATTATCTAAAAAAAAAATTTGGTATATAAAATCTTAGAATTATGATTTATTTATTACTTCTTGCTTTGCAACCATTCGATATTCTAAATTGCATAATTCTATTTCTTTTTATATATATTTAGAAACTAATAAATCGTCTTTTAGCTATGTCTATACAAATTCTAAGATTATATTAGCTGAAAGAATTGCTACCTTCAGTGAATTTCCAATCTTACCTAAATGCCTTTTTTATTCTATATCTTTGCTATAGCAGACTTCAAGATTATATATTGTTTATACAAATAGCCACTTTAGCAAATTTCAAATACCACTCAAACTCTTTTTTTTCATTTCTTGCTGTGCCTATGCTTTTATATAAATTGTTACCATATATTTCCATCTTCATTATACAACATTTGCTTCAAAATTATATTGTTCATCTGAATAGCCATTTTTAGCAGATTTCAAATACCAACTAGATTCAAGATTATATTATCTATATATTTAAATTGCTATTCGTTTAGTTATTTAGATACGTATAACAACCAAAATATAAAATTAATTTTATAAGCATTATACATATATATAAAAACATATTATTTTTAAATATTAAAATTTAAGATAATCAAATTTACATACTACTATTAATAGTTCTTGATTGTTTCAAGCAAAAAGATAACCTTTTTTTTAGTTTCTTCATTAAATTCAGAGCCATTTTGCAAATAATTAAGTAGTAGATCTACTAAAACTGACTTTTTTTTCCTTTTATTTTAACGGGTTCATTCTGAAATGCCTAAACAAGAATCTTGAGATTAGATAATGAGAATGCTTTCTCAAATGCACTCTTAGCTCCATTATCTTGAGCCCAAATTCTAAGCTGACCAAGCACTAAATGAAGATCTTTAGGTAACATCTCTTTCTTAAATATTACAATTTTTATTTTTTGGATTCCATCTTTTTTCGCATTACTTTTTAAATCTGTATTTATTGCTTTAACATTCTCTCGCAAACTAGATAAACCTTTTTCTGGAATATATTCTTTGAATTGGCACCAAGACTATTGTCTGCTTCGCATATAAATCTTAATTAGACGTATTAATAAATAGTTCTCAGCATCTTTTGACAATTTAATATGGTTATGTGTAAATTCTAAAGATAATTCATGTTTTTTATTTCTGGAACTATAATAGAGTTTATATGCTATTTGCAAAAGTTTATTAAACTGGTTCTTTAAAGGTTGATTACTTACAAGATTCTTATCAATATATATTAGAATATTTGGCCTATATTCGATATGTTTTTCAAATAGCTAAAGAATAAGCGACTCTAAATAATATATGAATTGAATAAAATCGGCCCCTGGAATAATCATTGTCATCTTTGACCGAGTTTCATATATATATTCTATGTACTCAGAACTAAGAACATTTAGGCACAATTTAATATTTGCAAATTCATTATGTGCTAATGTTAATTTATCACTTTTCATTAATTTATAAATGATTCACCCAATAATGTATTGAAATTTTGATGCCTCGGCTAGTTCCAACTCAATAATTTTTCTTGGTATGGCCCATAATTCTATATTCTTTTTTTTTTTTTTTTTTTTAAGCAATCCTGCCTTTATTTATGTGAACTGTTATATAATTTTTATACCTATGTGTACAAAATTCTTACAACTTATTGCTTTAATGTAATAAAGACTCACCAAGCAAAAATGCCCAATGCGACCTGCTATACCAACTGTTTGTCTACTCAGGGATCATGAAC